TACAGTTTGTCTTAAAATCATTGACACAGACCCCACTTTTGTGATATAAAAAACTATGAATTAAAGGAAGTTTTTGTGAGTAATGCATGTATTGTTGAAGGTGTAACTATGAATAAGTCTGTTTCTTTCATATTTATATGGGTTAATGTTTAACTTTAGACTGCTGTTGGATTTATAGACTGAACATTTCACATTGTATTAAGGATGTGTGCTGCTCTCTTATTTATGCGACTGTGATATGCACTTGTGTTTGAGTACTTGACAAAGAGTGTTCCTAAAATTGACCAAAGTCATGTATCTGACTGTAGTCTGAATGGACATACATTTACACAATATAGTGAAAATATCACTATCAACCAAGTATTTTGTATCTGTTTCGATTTTGTTATCATAATGCAAATCAATGGATAGTCACAATATAACTATGTTATGTTATATAGTTCAAACATCAGAGTGTTTTTATTTTGGAATAAGAATGCCATGGACATAATGAAGATGTCTGTAACAAACAATTAGTATGTGGAATTTTGAACCATATAAGTTTTTTTTTTTATCAATATGCTCCTCAAATATCATTGTCTATAAAGTACCGCATATATCTTTTCAGACTTTCCATAATTGGGAGGGTAGTCATTATCAGTCAGCCAAAGCTGTGTAGCAATATTTGTCTGTGATTGTAGATGATAATCCTTGGGATTATTCTCAGGAAACAAACATTAAATTTTAAGAAAATGTTTTTGAATTTAATTTGCAGGTGTAATAATGTTAATATTGAGAGCTAATTAACTCATCCAGATGTCATCCCTCTCAGTGATATTAGGGGCTAAGGGAATATTTACTGCTAATCAGTTTCGTGTATGTGTGTAATTGTAGATGATTATCCATGGGATTACGTGTACTCTCCGGAAATAAACATTAAAATGTTTGTTGTTGAATAAGTTCCTCATCTCTTAGATTTTAAATATTGATACGTAGTAAATGATTTTAATTGTCAATTTCCTAGGATTTTATTATCTACATGTATATATAGACATGAAACCAACATGCGTATCAGTAAATTTTTATCTTGACCAAGGTCAGATCCGTCAAGTTTATGACAGACAGTTGTATCTTTGTGTGAAGCCCACATGGAGAAATAGTTGAAATATTTGTGTTTGAAACCGTTCAGTTCATACATTGTTTAATTAGTGTATTAGTTCAAACTTGTAATTGTTGTTGGCATAAACCATTTTGATTGTTAATGCTCGTTATGTGTGATGTAACACATTTTTATGGTGTAGTAAAGTTTCGAGTACCAGTAGGTGTTTGGATCAAACTTAGAGAAAATTAACATTTTGTTGATTTATTTTTTTTAAGAACTGATCCACAAATATCAACACTTTTGAATGTGTCTGGTGGGTTATTAGGAAGTGTGGTGAAATTTATGATTACCGTTCCAAATTTAAAAGATTTTTAAAGTATTTTATCTGGTCATATAGTTATAATGACTGTAAATCTTGCATACGAAGATATTCATTATGAGTCAACTATTTGTTCCTGTACTCCTAGGTAGGTACAATGTACATCATATGGAATATAGGTGTGTATACATGTACATCATATAAAATATAGGTGTGCATAGGTACATGTACCGGTATATCATATAAAATTCAGGTGTGCATAGGTATATGTGTATCCAGGTGTTTATTCATAGGTATTTATACAGCCTAATCTACAACCAAGCCTTGAAATAAGGGCACCTGTCACAGACAATGTCAGGTACAACTTCAGGCTATGTCAGTCAAAATCCCTCTGGTGTCTGGCAATATGCCTGAAACACTTGTTATTGTACAGTGATTAAACAAATATATTTAATACATGTCTGTCACATTTTCCTATATGGTATATAAACTGGATAGGAAGACGTATATCCACAAATATCAATTTAGATGATGTTATCAGCTATAATGATCAAATATCAGTTTAAATATTGTTATCTGTAATAAAAATGTCGATATTAATGGCCATAATGATGAGAATGTTAGGTTAGAAATTAAAATGTTATATAAATCTGTATATGTACATGTGTCCATGAAAGGGAAGATACACTCGGCAAACCTCAACAGATTCCAGTACCCTACATCTAATCTCGGCTGTATGACAAAGTCCGCCATTAGAACTACTTTCAAGTTCCCGGATTACAATGGCGTTGTATTTGAAGAATGTTTTATCTTACAAAATTTTCAAAGTTTGAAGCTGTTTTTCTTTCAAGTTTATCCGATTTTCTTAAGACAAGGACAAATTTGCACTGAAAATTTTACACACTCTTCGAACGATGCAATTTTGAAAACTTCTTTCTAAACGCGGGCAAGTTTCCCTTATAAGTAAACCGGTGCCACATCGCAAATGTATAGGCATAGGTACATATCACTTACTGTCATACAGCCGAGGCTAGATGTAGGGTACCAGAATCTGCCGAGGTTTGCCGAGTGAGGGAAGATATGCTCCTTAATTGGATTTGGTAATAAACTCTTCAATATAAGATAATATACCCCTTTGGTAATTAATAATAATAGCATGTAAGGCACATGTATTTATCATGCAATATAAGATAATATGCCCTCTGGTAATAAATAATGATAGGGTAATAACATATGTATTAACCAGTTAATATGCGATAATGCCCTCTGGTAATAAATAAAACCAAGCAGGAACAATCCAAACCATTATACAAAATTCGAAGTCCTGAAAACCAGTCAATATAAGATATTGTAATATCAGTTATTATATTGTTATAAACTTTGTACCCAGGTGAATATTATGTGTTTATAACATGATAGATTCTCACATAACTAGCTGTATAATTCAATAACGATCCCATTAATATAATAACATTCACTGTAAGCTTTATTAACTGAAGTATGTACAGTGGCCAATAAATGGAATAAACACTAAGCAGGCCAAGTTCAATAGTCTCTTTATTATAATGGCACTGATACTGATATTGATTGACTTAATTCTGGGTCAACTACAGTATAGGATAACAACAATGTTAAACCTGTATTGTTATTTCTATATACACACTGTTTAAATTTACAAGATGTACTAATTGTAAACAGTTTGTATCGACTATGCAAGATTTAGGGGCATTCAGCCAATGTGCATAATATTTTTGTCCTCCACCTTTTGAAGAAAGCAGGGACTATTAAAATGGGTCTGTCCCTCTGTCTGTCCGTCACACTTGTTGGGACACAACACAATATCTCTTTTTCTAATATAGCTAGAATTTTCAAACTTGGTGTAGGTGTTTATTAGGTGAGTGCGAAGATGAGCATTTTCTGCTTAGGATAAGCAGAGATAAGCAATTTGATTGGTTGATGCTTTGGGTCAAGTCAACTTTAGTTCTAATTAAGTGCGGCAAATGAAACTTGGTGTATAGTTTCGTTACATCAATACCTTGACTAAATTCAATAATGAGCATTTTCTGCTCAGGGTAAGCAGAGTGATAAGAAATTTGATTGTTCGAGACTTTGGAACACTATAGCTTTAACTAATTGAGGTAGGCGTTTATTAGGCTTTGGATTTCAAAGATGAGCATTTATTGCTTAGGGTATGCAGAGATACGCAATTTGATTGGCTGATGCTTTAGGACACAATAACTTTAGCTCTAATTAAGTGAGAGTGATGAAACTTGGTGTATAGTTTCATTACATTAATACCTTGACTAAGTTCAATAATGAGCCTTTTCTGCTTAGGCTAAGGAGCAATCAGCAATTTGATTTGTCATGAGGTAGAATGTTTAAACTAGATGTAGATGTTCATTACAAGTAGGTGAATGTCTTGACGACAATGGTTAACATTTCCCACTAAATCTAAGCAGAGATGAGCAATTACATTGGTCGATGCTTTGTGACAAAATAGCTGTGATTCTAACTGATGGCGAGTGGTAAAACTTACTGTATAGTTTCACTACCAGGTACAATGTACTTCAAAACCGTGACTGAGTTTGATCAAGAACATTTTATGCTTAGATAATCAGTTTGATTGCTCAATACTTTTGAAAAAGATAAATGTGCAATTAATCAATGTGTGTCATCTATTTATTTTCCGATTTCGGTCTCACTGTTGACTTGTTAACACTGTCATAAGTAATTCTAAATGTTGTTTTCATCTTCCTCCTGTTGTGAGGATTGGGGATTGGAAGGTGCCTTGGGATTGGCCTCATACGTGGAGTAGCCTTATGCCTTTCTTCATCTAAATCTGTCACTGCCTGATAACCTGTCTTGAATGAAATGCAATCATTTGTTTCATAATTAAGGGAGCCCATTCAACCATAGCTGCTAGTTGCACTTGTATTATTGCCTGGCAACCGGTCTTTGAATGGGATGTATTGAATCCACCAGAGGACTACGTTTTTCTTCAAAAGGCCTTCTTATCTTACCACCAATACAGCTCTTGCCAAAGATCTTTTACGTTTGCAGCACCATATTATTATTATTATTGTTCGATTTATATTGCGCTTCATTACACGTGAAGTGTTTCTAAGCGCATATCACAAACATATACTTCAAACACACAGAAACAATCAAAATCAGGAGAACATAATAATTAAACACAATTAAACACAGCTGCCTGTTAGGCGCTATTATTCAAAGGTTTATATCCAACAAATCAACCGGCTAAACTCTATATTGAACTCAGTCGAGGTTTTACCTGATGAACACCTACACCAAGTAGAGTTCAAAAATAAAACACGAAGTTTAAAAGAATCAACTTCATTAACAAAAATTAAACAATCAAAAACTAAACAGATAAACCAAATTCAAACATCCCTGGAACCAGTTACCAATCAAACATTAGACAATCCAAATCTATCGAAAAATTCAAGTCAGCTTTGAAAACCCATCTGTTTTAAAATAGTTTGATGTGATCTACGAGAAAATACTTGAAAGCGCTTTAAGAACTAAATGTTAAGTAATCATGTGCTAAATAAATCATGGTATTATTATTTCTATTTACAGGTGTGACGTTTGTAAGATGAATATACCTCACCGTATTTTAACACCTGATGATGGGGGTGGAGGTAAAACTATGGTTAAATCTCTGGAGAGTGATAGTAGCGGAGAGGTTTTGACAGGACAATCATTAACTGATGTAAGTACAATCTTATACATTTTACTAGCAGAAAGCTTAAAAGAGAGCGACAAACAGACAAACAGACAGAGAAATGAGGGTTAACCTCCACTCAACACAAATTAGGGAGGTTGGATGGCCAAATGGTTAGTATGTGCGCGTTACATAGTAAGGTCTGTCATTGATTCAGCTGGCATAGTTTCGATTCCCCTGGTTGTATGTGACTATTCTCCGGGACCTCCGGTTTCCTCCCACTGCTAAAGACCCCTACCTGCAGGCGAATTTTTGAAATAAAATTGAACCATATGTTATTCCCGAAATGACATAGTTTGTGTTGAGTGGACGATAAACCCCATATCTCTCTCAACGCAATTTAGGTCATTTTGGGACTAACACATTGTGAAATTTTATTTCAATAATTTGCTTGCGTGTAGCAGTCGTCCAATCTGATTTAAATTTACATCTATCATCTAAATTTATTTTCAGCAAATTCCATTATTGACCCTTACGCACAAGCGAATTATGGAAATAAAATTGATGCATATATTAGTCCTGAAATGACCTCTCTCTTTCTCTCTTTCGGTATATGATTCGAATATATGACAATAAAAGATCTATCCATTTCAGATATATTTATAGTAACATTTGTTATTGTTGGTCACCTGTTATTGTTGTTGAATATAGGCATACATACATTACCTTTCTGTACTAAAGTATATACAGCTATGACCTATTGTATTGATCAGTTCAAAACTATTTATATTTGGTAAAGCCTGTAATAAATACACAGGAAATAGCTTAAAACACATGGTTATTTATTCATAGTTCAACAACAAAAATAAGTTGACACTGGCTCGGCTCGCTAACTAGGAAATCCTAGGTTCAATCCAGTATAGGTCAAGAAACTTCCTCAGGATTACAGATGTGGTTTCCCAATTGTCAGTGGTGCTGGCCTGCCAAGGAACAACTCAACAAAGTTTAGTTGTTTGGATGGTACCAAAAACCGTGTGTATGCTGATGTCCTTGTAAAAGAACCCTTAACAGTTGGAATTTGAAATAAGAGTAAACTGTACCGCCTATGTCTGGGCAAAATTTCTCTTAATAAAACCAAGGTCCCATGTATACATTGGAATGCATGTAAAAGATCCCTTGGCAGTTGGAATTCGATATAAGAGTAGGCGATAGTGCCGCTGCCCGGGCAAAATTTCCCTCATAGCACACTGTATGGCATATGCCCGTCTTCATTGGCCCAGTTTAGGAGCAGAACAGTAGGACGTTAAACCCCATTTCATTTCATTTCATTTCATTTCATTTGGACTTTTTGATGCAGATCAGTAGGTGGTTAAACCGAAAACCCTATTTAATTTTATTTTGAAGTGACTGATTGAGGTTTACTTGGTGTAAAATTGGGTCAGTCATACAAGTTTATACAAGTAGTAATCTTTACTAATGATACTATAGTAAATTGACGGATTCGCTTAAAGATATATCCCCTACAAACTGATGGACTGATAGAGATATGAAACCAATCAATATTGGTAACTTAACTGAACTGTCAGGCCACACAAACTTGATTTTCAGTTCTTCAGCATCTTGATAAATAAATAACCACATGAATCACATGAAAGATGTTTTGTTTAAAATTTCAAAGCTTTAAATTTTGGAACTAAAGGATTTTGAACAACACATAACTTAGGATTTTGAAATAAGTCTGTTTCCTGAAGAAATAAGAAAATTGATACAAATGAAGTGGAAAGGGTTCTTTTACGTGCATGTCAATATGTATACAGGACCTTGGTTTCTGCATCCCATTCCGAACGACAATACATTGTCCCATGCCAGATCCCTCTGTCCTACACTACTGACAAGGGGGAACCACGCCAGAACATCCTGATGGAACTTACTCAGCCAACACTGTCACTGGGATCAAACAAGGGACCTCCAGGTGAGCCACTGTCACTAGGATTGAACAACGAACCTCCTGGTGAGCCACTGTCACTGATCCTTGTGAGCAACCGAGGCTCCCAAAATTGACACAGTTGTTCCTAAGAACAGAAAATGAAATTGGTGTGGCCTTAGATTACATTGTAAATTTGTAAAACAGGATTGCTGACATGTGGTTCTATGATGCAAATCAAGACATAAGGTAGATTATCCGACAATGTTTTTATTATAATATACTTTATGTAATGAATTGGGTCTAGACAAAGTCTGCGACAGGTACAGTTGCATGTACATGTATCCTGAGTTGACTTGAGACTGCAGACATGATGGTCAATGATAATATTACGATCAATAATAGATAAAAGATATCTGATTTATTGTCATGTAAAGCCAGGAAGTAAACCAATAAATTCTACTTGACATAGAAATAAAACTAGGTTAAATAGTCTCTTGCCGTCATTGTTTATTATATTTTGTCTTTTGTCGGTGAGCTGAAAAAAGGTCTCATTGATTTGCAAAAGTAAAAAATAATACTCTTAAAAAAAGGTGTACTTGATTTGATTTGCAAAAGTACAAAATCAAACTCCTTAAAAAGATCTGGACACCTGGTTGGAAAAGGTGAGGGATTCAGTAAATATACAAGAGCTAATATAATTAAACAAAATGATTTCTTTCATTCATAATGCTAGATTCCCCCTATCATGATTCGTGCTGTTTTGTTGAAGGTTCTCTTTTCTGGATAACATTGAGAGAACCTTCAATGAAAAGTCACTTTAATTAAAATAGTAATTGTGTTACATATACATGTATTAGATTTGACATTGTTTCTGTGCAAGCTTGCAGGCTGTTGATACAAGAGTCATCTTGTCAGGCATGATGGAACATACAGTAAATTTTTCAGTTAGTGAACAAAATCGTAAACCATTTGGATTCTAGCATTTTTTGTCAATAAATTTACACCGCCAAATTTTAGACATACATGTACATCTTCACATGTCACCCGTCTTCATTATCCCAGTTGGTGCAGAACAGTAAGATGTTAAACCCCATTTCATTTCATTTTCCACTTGTCATTCCCACACTCTGGCATACACACAGATTAAACAAATTATTTTTACAATGACAGCCGTAACACCCACTCCTTTGATCAGCTGATAATAAAGGTAATTTACCACCTACATATGAACCTGTACCAGTATACCACTATATCTACCTGTACATACCTGTAAAAAGATTCACCTGTAATCTGGATGACTGACAGGTAAAGTACAGGTGGGAGTGTGAACCTAATTTCAGGTAACCTACAATAAAGGCTGGTCATTCTTTACATAAAAACAAAAGTCTCCATTCATCCAAATCTCAAACCCTAAAAAAAAACATCCATGAAACAGATACAATTACGATTGTAGATTTATTTATAATTCATTCAAGTAAATAAACACTCCTCATTCTCACATTGTCATTGCTGTATTTATAACTAACTTTCTCAGGGGCTGATCTAGTGCACAAATTATGGAAAAGACCACATGGTACTTTAAAAAGAAAAAAAATAAGTGCAAGCAAGAATTAAGCCTGAAACAGTTTTAAAAGATTTCTTTTAAAAATGGTTCAATTTTTTCTATAAATCTGAAACAGTTTTGAAAGATTTCTTTTAAAATGATTCAATTTATTATGTATATCCCAAAACACTTCCTAGTTTTGTTTTGTCCCTAGTCGTTAAATGGTGCTAAAGGATTAAGTTTTGAAAAATTTGTTCTGTCGTTCTTTAAATCATTAAGGAAGAAGAAAACTGTGCAACAACAATACAACTTGACACGTTCAATAAATCTTGTTATTGATGTAATTGTAAATGGGTTAAAACTTTTTATTCTAAAATTTGGCATAGGGATATTTCAAGTTATTAATTTATTGGCATTACGCAGTCATAATTACCAATTTTCGTATTAACATATTTACAGAATGTTTTAGATTTTTAGGTGCATAAAAGCTAAAGAGGCATAACCACGCAGTAGTTTTCAATTACAGGTATTTTTGCGTAATTTTAGTCTGATCCGATCTGTCAAGCTACAACCTTAAGGTTCAAACTTTCAATTTTTTAAAATGGTTTTCAAAGAGTGTTTAGATATGATTATTATTTTCTTGGTAGAGGGCTTGGAGGCCACTACGTGTAAGCAAGTTTTTGAAATGAAATAAATATGTTAGTCCCAAAATGATCTAGTGGATGTTACACACACACTCAGTCTTTTTCTCTCACACTTTAAGTGACATTACACATTGTAACTCAAGAATTTTAACAATGCTGCCTAACCTTGAGCTAGACACTCCGCTAGAAACTTTTTCGCACTGGGAATAATACATTTAAAATAACTCCTGTTTATTGACTGTACTCTATTGTCATGGTTCAGTGACCGAAAAAAAAAATCTCCTATTCCCTTTTCAGTTTAATTTTCTCTCTTATCTGAAACATTCCTGGTTTAATATCAATAATAAAACTGTGTTTAATTTTTTTGGGTGAAGATAGTATGGGGTTTATTAAGTTATATTCTTGGCTGGGGTTGTTAAAATGTTTAGAATGTTCAAGATGTATTAAAATGTGTCCCTGAGTAAAATGTCTATGATATCATATGTTGTGTCAAATTTATTTCATGTGCTTATTTGATAGAACTATATGACAATAATCTTTCATAGAATCAAAACAGTCTATGGTTGTTTTGACTAAAACATGTCCATTTTGACCAAACTATAGGCGGGCCATTTTGATTTATATGTAAGTACATTTATTTCATCTTTAACAAGACAGCGCCATCTTTTAAGTGTTGTGTGAATCATTTGGAGGTCCCCTATTTAATTTGATTGAATCCAAGCTGGGAAATTATTGTTAATATTTTGATTTTGTTTTTTCATAAAATGTTAGCTAACCCATTTTAATGAGATAATTTGGTGGAGTCAAGTAATTAATTTGTTGTAGGTAGTATTCAGACAACACCCAGCGTGGGTAGCTAGTCAGTCTACTATTATACATGTAACATCACATTCACATCAAAACTCAGTCAGCCAGTCAGGACAGTCTCAGTTCT